ACAACAAAGTCCAAACCATTTGTCTGTGTCTTTGCCCAAAATACGATATATTTCGTCTGTATTCGAACTATTTACCCGCTAAAGTCACGATATAGGTATACATCCCAACGAATTCTTTTCTCAGACTGTAACAACTTACACGACGGATATTTGAAGCGACCAGTAATGTATTAGCGCAGAACTAATGCAATTTCGTAAGTAGAATTGGTTACTCTTAATATCTTTAATAAAAAAAGTCCGGCCAAGTGCGAGTCGGGCTCGCGCTCGAAGGGTTCCGTACCATTATCGAGTTGTGTAATTGTTTTTGTATGAGCCATACAACTCTAAATTTGCCCATATCTTTTTATCGTGAGTAGGTACTTTGATTTTTATACACCTAAATAGGGATTATAGACCTCAGTATTTCTACTTGCTAGGTCCATCCGTTCTTGAGGAAATCACACTGAGAGACAGACGTACGAGTGATCTTATAAGGATTCCTTTTTTACTTTTGAGATACAGAACCCTTAAAAAAAAGGAAAATCAAAAAATTACTACAATTACATGTTATCCGATTCTCCACCCCAGCCGATATGCACACAAAATTTCACGAATATCGGTCGAGCCGTTTCGGAGGAGTTCAATTACAAACACCGTGGCACGAGAATTTTATACAGTGTGTCGTTACCATCGCGACAATAAATGAACACACATATAGGCGATAAGTTTTTAAAGTTGTATTAAACATTTAAATTATTTAAACATCAATATTTACAGGGTTATTAAATTTTCCAAAACAAAGAATTTTAGAACACCCTTACCTATAAAAGCGTAACGTAAAGTTCATTTGTAAAGGTCACAAAGCATATGAATGGGTTGAATGAACTTAAAAGAGACAAAACATACTGTTAGAAGGAGAGGCTTGTAATGCGACGCTGTGGCGCGAGTTGTATAGGATGTTACAAATTTTGTTTCTTTTTTACTTAATTAGTTTGTTTGAAAAATATTTTTTTTTAATTATGGATTTTGTTTAATGTTAATATTTTTTTATGATTATTGGCAAGTAGCGTTAGACGTGTGTTCATTTACTGTCGCGATGGTAACGACACGCTGTATATTAGATTTTAAAATTTCCCGCTCTCCTATAGGGTAACGCAATCCCGTGTCACAAAGTCGCTTAGCATAAACATATTGAACATCTTAGTGTTTGGCAAGAGTTCAATAATTTTTAGGTGATAATAATAAATACTCGTATTGAGAAGAAATAGAAACCAAGACAATGCGGCGACGAATAGAATAACATAGAAACCGACCCAGTTATCAAATATTAAATAATAGAATTTATTACACGTGCTCTGATAACATAAATAAAAGCGGAAGGAAAAGTTTTCATGATACTTGTGATATTCAAAAAGTTCGAGGCATAACCAAATCGAAAAGACAAGCAAAAGCATGTGGCGAGATATACCCTTAACTTCATAACTAGGTACTATTAGTAGGACAATAGCGTATCGACTGGAAACATGCAGAAAACAAGGTATATGAAAAGTTAAATCAATTACTAAACTACAGCGCCCTTACTTCCGCTATGACAGAATCAGAGAAGATTCGAAAATTGGATATTTGCGTTGATCAGATTGGAAACGTATTCAACGCGCTCCGCTTGAGACTGCCTTTGATTCGATAACGATCGCTCGGACGCAATGCCGCGGCGAATTTCACTTATGTATTTATTTATTTTGAGATCGTGAGATCAACATCACATAAATATAACAATCTACTTATTAACTTGATCATACTGCGTTTAACAAAATACGTTTTATAAATAATCGAAATTCTTATTTGAGTTGACAAACTAGAAGGATTCTAACATACATACAAAACATAATAAGAAGAAAAAGTTAAAATCAAATAAACAACAATGAGTAAAAGTATAGAAGCATAAGAAGAAATAGCACGTATACCATTACCAATTTCTTCTTCGTTCGCAAAATAGCCTAGGGTGCGTTTAGCCGTGTTGCATGTTTTTGATTTCATCATATGGAGAAGGTAATGTAAACTATGTAAAGCTCAATAAATCTTGAGCCTGCAGAAATAGTAATTCAGCGTAGCCTTAATCTTCTTATATATAAAAAGGGATTGCTGTTCGTTAGTCTTACTAAAACTCGAGAATGGATGGACCGATTTGACTAATTTGGGTTTAGAAATATTTGTGGCAGTCCAGGGAAGATTTAAACGATGCGAAATTATGAAAAATATGTATGGAAAATCGAAATAGCAATAATTTTATTTTCCCATACAAACTGTACCTGTCAACCTGTGAACTATGTCTGTGTAACCTGTCAAACACTTTATTCGTGCGTTCCTCTAGAAATAATTTATATGGCAAAACATCGTTAACTGAGTCAGCTAGTATACAATAGTATGAACAAGAATCCTAGAGAGAATGAATTATATATGTATGTGTTTAACTATTAATTTTATGTGTATATATTGTATATTTTCAATACATATAAATAATTGATATAATTATTGCACCTACCACGATTTCTCACCACGCCCCGGGTTGACTGGGAGAGAATGCCAAAAGGCATTAAGTTCGCCCTTTGTAATCCTTGCTTAAGGTAATTGCAATAAAGAATAAATAAAAATAATAAAATAAAAAGAACACAATAACTATTAATTATCGTTATGAACTGCTAACTCAGTTCAAATCTAATTTTATTTCTCGGACGAAAATATTGTTCGAGATAAAAAGCAAAAATGGTGCACACAGTAAAAATTTGTCAATTGTCAAAAATTATTCTTGAATTTTTTACATCGTAATCATATAAAACGCTTAAATTGTTTACTAACTAAAGTGAAGTAATGGTTTCAAAATAAGCCACACAAGCACCTAAGTCAAGATTTGAATCGCGATGACCGGGGACTTTAATTCGAAATTGGACGTAATTAGCAAGGCATTGTCATTAGCGAGATTGTAGCATTATCGAGACTTGTCGACAGTCCAATGCCAACGTATCAGAAATCTTCAGGTGACCCGGTTAATCGCATCGTGTTGTCGAGACATCCCCTGGCGCGAGGTGGTGGTTGTCATGGTAACGTACATAAATTCCCGCGCGCTCAAACAACAGCCACAGTCGCGCAGACGCGCTAGCGCAAAGTACGTAAACGGTGAGTTTTTTAACATTAAAAAAAGTAATAAATTAAAAAAAATGTAGAGTTCGAACTTTTTGGTGACAGTTCTAAATGTTTTAGTTAGTTATTATAGGACTGAGAAAAAATTTATGGGACTTATAAAGTGTGGCATGTGCTAAATTTGTGTGTTTTCGTTTTTAATTGACTAAAAATAGAAAAAACGTTTCTTTTTTTCGATATAGAGTAGTTTTAACAGCGATTTCTTAAGCAGGATTTCGCCCCGGCCTAAGTTAAATCGGACTACAATTGTTTTTCCTATATAAATGAATACTAATTTTAAATAATGATGTATAATAAATCTAAATGATGATATTTGATAAATCTTATTATATCATCTATTCCTCAATGTCAATCAATAAAAAAGATATGTAGCGAACAATATAATCGAAACTATCCTCGTCTTTATAGAACATATCTTACGAAATACTCTTCCAAGTACAATGTGGAAGAATTTTTACATTAAAATCAGAGTGCCAGTTTTAAATCCAAACCTATTTAGGTAATTCTAAATTCAAATAGCTGTCACCGCTATGAAGAAATTGTTCTCTTTAAATCTCAAGATGCTCCATTAACGCTCTGTACTAAGACAATAGCCATCCGTTTGGCTTATCGCGGTTTCCATTCCTCTCGCGGCTAATGCATTATCAAACATCTTTCCAAATAGAGCAATTCTGTATTGCGTCTCGGACTAATCTACGTTAATTGTATGCTAATTAATTTAACTTTAAACACATTCGGGATACAAAAAACGTGGAAAAATGTAATTAGAATTGAAAATATATTTAACATAAATAGTCTGACGCTCTGTCCGCCCTATGCATAATGGATAGATTAAAAGTGTTTTAGCAATTTCTTACTAATATAACATTGAACATTTTCAATGAGCACGCCAAATATGCGAGCAAAGTTTTAAATGTTGAGTGTTAAGATTAAAAACGTATAAAAAATAAGTGAGTTTGTCTGTCTATAAGTATAACCTGCAATGATTTTCCCACTAAGTAGTCCGGTATTTAGTTCCAAGGCGCGGGCTGTGTTAATAACTGGCTCACGCCTTGCCTACATGTTAAATCGGAACGCCTCTTTACCATTTTCATTGTAAACTTACAATTTCAACGTCAGCTACAACGCATACTTGCAATTCAATATGCAATACTCGAACTTTGAGCGAAGGAACTAATGCAACAGGGTTAGTGACACAGCGGCCGAAGAACTTAGCATGTTTCTGAAACATTTTTACAAATTTTCTGCACTGGCTTGTCACTGTATAACAAAATGTTCGATCGATTTGATGATACGTATGATATCGAAATGACTGACACTTGTCAAAATACTGAACAGAACTTAATCTTGAAGACTTGGTGCTATTACAAATTTAAAGCGACTAGTTATTTCCCATGTATTTTGTATACTGTAAGAGTTCAGTCTTCTCGACTTTATTGGGTAGGTTATATTGAATTCAACAACTTTTTCAAATGAACAATAGTCGGTTAACAAGAAAATCGATCTTTTATCCGGGCGAGAATACATATTCCGTAAAGTAAAAAGTAAAGTAACAGCCCATACATGTCCCACTGCTGGGCAAGGGCCTGCTCTGTACAGAGGGTATCAGGGCATAGCCACCACCGCGCGGCCCCACTGCGGATTGACAGATTTTGCGGATTAACACAACACTTTCCTATTGCGGAAATCGTAATATTAAAAAAATCCAGCCAGTTTCAGATAAAACTACAAAGTGTTATATGTTATGAATTTAATGTTTTTCTATATATAATTTATTTATTTTTTTCAGATTTAAGTTAAGGGCAATGGGTAGCACCAACAACATGCTTCGTTTGTCAACGTTTTGCAGTGAGTATTATTTATGTAATAATTTTTGAATGTATGCCAAAAACCGTAGAAAGTGTCAAATCATCATCTAGTGTACCGTATTCACATTTTATAAACTACCATCTCCTTAATAAAAGTTTTTTTTTATGCGAAAATTTGCCAAACGAGCAGACGGGTCACCTGATGTTAAGTGAATACCGCCGCCCATGGACATCTGCTACACCCGAGGGTTACAGATGCGTAGACAACCTTTTTGGAAATTGGGCTCCGGCTACCTCACTCACCAGACGAAACGCGAAAGTATTTGTCATACGTCTACTTTACGCTGGTCTTCTGTGAAGTCGTGGTACTTACCCGGGCGGGCCTGCCCATTCGTGCAACAGCCGAGGCAGCTGCGTGGCCCTACCACCGTAAAAGAATCGTAGAATTTTTATCCCCTGTGTACTTTTTGTTTATGAAAAAGACATTAAATACAATTGATAACAGTATAGTTAACAAACGATTTTAATTTACTTGGTATCCATCCAAAAAAACTTAAAAAAAGCTAATCAAATAATTACGTTTAAATCGTGAAAGCCCTTGATTTTTTTAATTTGACAGTTCTTGAGTAATCAGAATACAGTTATACAAGAAATTTTGCACTAATTTTATTTATAAATTCAAGTGTATGCACACTCGGACATTAATAATTACTTCAAATAAATAAATATCCTTCTTAATCAAATTAGGAAGCATTATTAAACACAACCAAACATATACAAGTGAATGTTGCTGCATTCATTGATTGTACCATAAATAATTCTCAAGTGTCTGATGGCGTACTAAGTAAACTTGGGTAGTATGTAGTTATATTACTTGATTTTCGGATATTTATTCATTCAAATTTAACTCAGTTTGTTCAAAATTTAATCGACATAGTTACATTCATTTAATAGCTGTGGTAGACCCACGCAACAGCTTCCATTGTTGACGCTGGAGCAGATTCGTCCGGGGAAGACCGGAGAAACGACCAAAACGCCAAAATTTTATACTTACGCCCAGTTTCTGAAACACTGATCATCGTAGATGTCAACTAATCAGCTGTCAAATGGGTTTTCAAACGTTTTCAAACGTGTTGCCAAAAGGATTGAAAATATTTAAATTGAACATTCTGATCATTAAGAAGATCACTGTGATCACTTCAGAAAGTTTAACCATCCTTTTGGCAACTCAAATAACATTTGAAAGACCATTTGACAGCTGATTAGTTGACATTTACGATGATCAGTGTTTGAGAAACCGGCCGTTAGACTACTTTAATATTACTTCTTTGTTACTGGACCCTCCTTCCTAAAGGTTGGACAGGCTTAAATAACAGGGGCAGTGCATGTAAATGAACTGGAATAAACAGCGGAATCAATTATACATTCGCCACTGTCTTCTAAAAAAATTGCAATAATCATTGTGGCTCAAGGCACAGTTAATGAGTGAGTTGAAATAATCTCTAATTAATGAACAAAACTCGTAACTACAAAAGTTAGAAAAATATCACAAAACTCCTTTGTTAATACGAAATGACATGAATGACAAAGTGATTGAAAGATAAAATCAAAATGGCGTTGCGTATCTCGGACAATGAGAGAATTATACGGGCATGTAGTTTTACACAGGATTGAGCAAATCTAGGTATTGAAATGTTAGTGCTTTTAAACTTTGCACGTTTAATTTGTTCTTTTGATCACAAATTAAAGCCATTATTTATACTTTAAAAACTTAATTTTTGTCAGTTTATGAGCTTTATAATCAATGATAAAAAATATATATATAACATAAGCAGAAAAATTTTTAAACGCAGCACAGTAGGGTCACGCGTCATCTATATTATTAAAAAGCATTGCCTATAATATCGTCGGGTCAGAAGTAAACTTTTCAATCTGCAAATGTCAAATTGTGGAGGAAGAGGAGGTGTTAATATAAAAAAAATCTGCAAATCAGGGTTTTAATGAAATGATACAGGTATATATTTTTTCAAGGTTAAATTGCTACCATAACAAAAAATCTGTTTTAAAGCTAGCATACATTTGATTATTTTTCTATACTTTGACAATGTATAATTGCATACAATTTATTTTCTTACAATTTATTACAATTTATTACATAGCACACAATTTATTTTGGAATCTGTGTAATTAAGGTAATATGTTTGGCCCAAGGGTTTAAAACACAAAAATTATGTACTTACCTTTGTTAACTTAATTCATAAATGAGCCTTACATGTCGTTTGATCTGTTTGCAACGGTTTACGTACACATTCATTGTCTATACACATCCATTAACGCTTAAATACCGGCTTCTGTTTAAAGTAAGTGATTTCGAAACGCATTGTGCTCTCGCTATGAGAGAGTACGGTGCAAAATGGCACCGGGCAAAATGTCAATTCGCGCGGGAAAATCGTCAAGAACGCATTTGTTCGAGTTTCCGGCGGGAAATATGGTGATTTCTTGCCTTGTATCTACATAATGCACTCTTATAGGGCTACAAAATGGAAAACTATAATACTTAACTATAGGAAACGAATGGTGATAAATAACGGAGCATATGGTATTAATTTGAAAAGGAAAATAAGTTAATCGAACCTATATTTGTCATAGTGCGTGGTGGCGTTAAACAAAGCGCGAAATTCAATATTTCGTGTTTTGGTCACTTCTAATATACTTACCAATCCTGCGGGGAACCACATCGAATGTATCTTAAATGCAGTCAAATGTTAACACACGGCGAACCGTGATTATTTCTAGAAGTCCAATTTTTCATGAACCGCTAACTCATAGACATCTCGTGACCAATTTGTGGCAGATTCGCGCGCTTGGGCACTGTTTCGGTGCAGTTTGCGCAACGCATTCAACTGCCAATGAATGGCGCATCAGTTATACTAACTGTTATACTAACAAGCAAGGATCATTATAGTCAACAAATTTAGCATGCCTAAATACTAAGTGTCAGGTGTAGAGTACTGAGACGTTGCAAAATGATGAGTACACTCGCCAGGCCATCGTTTTGTATCTCGCTGCATATTTCAATTGATATTAAGTATCGTCAGTACTTGTTATATTCGAGAAAACGTAAAATATTCACACTATGAGCTATAGATGCGGTGCAGAAGAGTTAATTAATTTAACCATAGTACAATACATAAAAAACTCAATCGGAAATCTCTACCGTCCAAATGTACACAGTTTCGTAAAGATCTCAATGTGCTCTTCATTACAACAATTGTGTAACCTTAATCGTATTCAAGTAAATGAGGAGTTCGCATTGTCTTCTTAATGATAAACTTTACTCAAGCGCAATTTGGAAACATTTTCGACAACACTCCACTTTGCAACGTACGTAAGACGTAAACAAATTGAAATTTTAATGCGATCTAAATATATTTTCTGCGTCTCGTTTAGTGTTCTCAGGATGGTTTGTGCAATAAGAGTTTATTATCGGTATAATAAATAATAATAAAATATCTTTATTCACATAGACGCTTGCGCGTTCTTATGAAACGTCAAAATTTTACAAAGAAATTAACACGTTCGTAAGTTGCAACCGGTCGCGGTTATTATAAAATAATGCCAATTTGTCTCTCATGTTTATCATAATCGTCACCATGGCGATTTTGGACCAACACGCGGCGTGACGCGTCATAAGACCCGCCATCTTTACTCGAGAAAAATCCAAACGTGTAAAATTAACGTCGTCATCATCATCAGCCGCAAAACGTCCACTGTTGAACATAGGCCTGCCCCTTAGAACGCCAGAACGAACGACACTTCGCCATTTGCATCCACCGATTGCCCGCTACTCTTATGATGTTGTCGGTCCACTAAAATTAACGACCAGCGATTAAAGAGGAGGCTTAACGCAGCCTAAGGTGTCGCGGCTGAATGGAATTCTTCGGATTGAGCTAGATTAATGCAAATCGTAGAATGTAGGGCGGGCTCGGTCGTGTTTAGCTCGGAGCTCGCTTCCTCGTTTCTTTGGTCCGTTTCGTGACATAGTGTCACGAGTAGTGCTCACCGCGCGACACTAAGGGTTTCGACACGGGACACTTCCCAGTTCAATCGACGATCACTATCAACCACAGTTGTTCTAGCAATGAGTAGATGGAATGCGTTTAGCTTGTCAAAATTATAAGCCTACTAGCTTTTCGCCCCCGGCTTCGCTCGCGTTGAAGCCCGTAAATAAATAACTTTCTTTAAAAAAAAACCTAATTAAAAAATAACCTATGTCTTTCTCAGGCTCTAGACCGTGTACCAAATTTCATTTAAATCGGTTCAGTAGTTTTGGCGCGAAAGCGAGACAGACAAATAGAGTTAGTTTCGCATTTATAATATTAGTATGGATTATTATATTGTTGCGATCCGCCTATATCATTGCCGTATCGTTAATCAGTAGCTTTCAAATAGGAAAGCATGCATACTAAAGCATAAAGATGTAAATAATTGATACTCCGTGGCAGGTATTGGCTTCGGCGGGCGTCCTGGGTTCGACTCCCACACAGGACAACTATTTGTGACCCACAAATAGTTGTTTCGCATCTGGGTGTTTGTCCGCGTGAAAATTTATGTTTGCAAAACCTCCTCACAACACAGGATAATGATATTCTAAAGTAAGGGCAATTTTTAAACATATATATATATATATATATATATATATACTAAACACCATTTATACATGCGTGTGTGACCGATGTCAGAGTGGCTTAATCTCTATTCCTTACTGAGAAGATTTGCCTGCCAAAAAAATAAACTGTAGACGAATTACTCAAGCCTAAGGAAATATGACCATTAAATTGTTATACGAGCATTGGACATTAGGCCTGTTTCGCGTAATACATTTTGCAAGAACACTTCCCAATGTCAGTGTTGCAATTACATAGGACAAACGGTTATCATCTTTTCATTGCTACAGCTGCTTCAAATTGTTTTGGACACGGGAACTTTCAGTTATATAAAACTTACATGCAACATACGTATACATAAATTTTATTTCATGTAATTTTAAACATTGTTAATTTTCACTAAATAATATATTTATCTTTATTTATTAATGTTACTTATATTACTTATCTATTTAGATAAAGATCGACTATTATTCATATGTAATAAATTAATCCGTTTTAAGTAAATGTTAATCGTGAAAGTTCTATATTTTATTTTACGTAGATATAAATAAATATAAAGCACTATTAGTATTGTGACCCAATGATCAGATGGTGTTGAAAAATTTACTCTTAAAAACTGTTCGGTAGTTTATGCATCGCTCAATTAATATCCAGGCTTCTTATCCTAAAGAGTAAAATTGCATCGCGCCAATTTCCATCAACGTTGCGAAAAGCCCCGAAGTAATCCCACGCGATGTCATTCGAAAACAGGGCTGCCAACATTTATATTTTTTACCGAAGCAAGTCCGACGCGCCTATATATAGGTACGTCAGATATTTACTATTTGGGATGAAGAAATAAATCACGATAATATATAAATATAACCTAAATTCAAAACACTTTTTCTTGTAACTATCTCTATAATCGTAACATAATGATACGACCATGAAATTAAAACACAATAGTCTAAACTTCAGGGTAGCGTTAAGTTTTACAGTTTCATAATTTTTGACATTTTGAAGTACAACAGTTCCAGATACATTTATGTAGGTGCCCTTCAATTTTATATTTATCCATATATGAATATTCAACGATGCGAAGTTTTCGTCATAATTATATAAATTACCAGCTGACCCGGCAAACGTTGTCTTGCCGTATAAATTATTTCTAAGGAATTTGTAAGGTGGACAAAAAAGTTTGGGGTGGGCCACCCTTAACATTTAGGGGGATTAAAATGATGTTGTCCGATTCTCCACCCTGGCCGATATGCAAACAAAATTTCACGAAAATCGGTCGAGCCGTTTCAGAGGAGTTCAATTACAAACACCGTGACACGAGAATTTTATATATTAGATGACGTGCTAAAATTACTTCCTCACTAGGTTAGGCTCACAAAGTTGTTAAGTACTAATAAAAACCGTCGTTGGTTGTCAGATATAAAAGCGAAAGGACAGAACATTACTTTTTTACATTTTTACATAAAGTTATTATGTTACGCTAAAACGATATTATGTTAAAAGCACGACCGAAGTCCTTTCATTGTTTAGATAACCTATTACAGCTGTACTTTAATGTAACTCACTTATTTTTGCGCCAACCATAGAAAGACGATTGCAATCCATTCACGGGGAGATGCTTCACAGCATTATGCCTCGAGGAGAGTATAAGATAAACACTATATTTAACATCACACCAATATAGACATTATCTTTTACTTGGGTACTTCTAACTGCTTTAAACAAGAGTAATAATAGGTGCTTACTTCACATTATCACGCGTGCCACGAAAGCAGACTGTATACTAGAACTTGCTATAGTTGGTGTAAAATTGTAGAACTATCTTATTTTTTCAACACGACTAACTTATAACCTATTTTATCGGCACCTGTAATATAATTTATTCTTAAATCACGTCTATGACTTTAATACTAGGAATACGTCCAAGTCCCTTCATTGGAATTTTATTTCTAATGGACATAATATGTCTTTTAATGTGCCTTTAATTGATAAATTTTCGAAAAAAATTCTTTCCGTAGTCTTCTTTGTGATTATCACATATCATTTGCGAAAAACTGATTTAAAGCCGCAAACTGAAATCAGCGAGTTCATTTAAAAAAATCCTTAACACCACACAAAATGTTTGTTGCAGTTCTACTGGTGGCGACTTTCGCCCAGAATGGATATGAATACAACAAGCCGGGCCAGCCGTTCAACCAAGGAACCTCACCAAGCCGTCCAGGATTTCCGTCAGATGGTAGATACCCAACGTCGCCCACAGCATCGTCTTATCCCGCTCAACAGAACGAGTACTCCAATGTAGGCCAGGGTTCTACACCAGGATACCCATCTGGGCCCTCCCAATATCCTTCGGGTAGCGGTAATCAAAATTACCCGGGCAACAACCAGCAAACTCAAGCGGGCTATCCTGGATCGGGCGCTTCCTATCCCAGCCAAGGCCCACCGGCCCGAACGCAGGTTTCCCCGGCCAAAACGGACAAAATTATCCAGGCCAGTCACCAAACTATCCCGATCAAAATGGACAAGCGCCTGGTCGTCCGGGAACATCAAATGGTGGGCTAAGCAGACCCGGTTTTGGAACACCCGGTATCGGCCCCGCCGCACCGGGCTTTGTACCTAACGTTCCTGGATTCGGCCCCGGTACCCCTGGTTTTGGCCCAGGTAGCCCCGGCTTTGGAATTGATGACACTGGAGCGTATGACGGCGGTGATTATTCCGCTATTCCCGGCGAACCAGACAAAGATTACCCAATACTCTCCGAGATACCAGAAACATCATTTAGCTGCGACGCACAGCCTTATCCGGGATACTACGCGGATGTTGAAACTCGCTGCCAGGTCTTCCATGTTTGCTCTAATAACATAACTTACGACTTCCTCTGTCCCAATGGAACGATCTTCTCCCAGGAAGTCTTTGTTTGCGTCTGGTGGAATCAGTTTGACTGCAATACTGCACCGAGCTTCTACGAACTGAACGCAAATCTCTATGACTACTCCATAACTGGGTCAACTGGCGCCTTGGGCGGTGTACCTGACTTTTCGCAGCAGCAGGGTCCTTCCTATCCCGGCACCAATGGGCCACGGGGTCCATCAAATTACCCGGAAGTATCAAGACCCGGTTTCCAAGGACCTCAAAGACCATCAGGCTATCCCAGTGGCCCAGGATCCCAAGGACCATCCTCTTCCTACCCTAGCAGCACTGGGCCACAGGGGCCATCTATAAATTATCCCAATGGCCAAGGAGCACAGGGTCCCTCAGGACCATCTGGCCCACAAGGCTCGTCAAACACTTACCCAAATCAACAAGGAATCTCATCTTCCTTCCCCGGCTACCCAGGCCAACAAAGCGCTTCACCTTCCTTCGCAAATCAGCAAGCACCTACATCTTCTTACCCTGGCCAACAAGGCCCATCTACTTACCCTGGCCAACAGGGCCCATCTACTTACCCTGGCCAACAGGGCCCATCTACTTACCCTGGCCAACAGGGCCCATCTTCTTACCCTGGCCAACAGGGCCCATCTCCTTACCCTGGCCAACAGGGCCCATCTACTTACCCTGGCCAACAAGGCCCATCTTCTTACCCCGGCCAACAGGGAGGCTCTTCCACCTTCCCCGGAAGTTCCGCATACCCAAGCTCAACCGCATCTCAGGGTCTGACTAGTTCGACAGGGTCAAACTATCCAGGTTCTCAAGGTTCACCAAACTTTCCCGGAAGTAGCCAAGGTTACCCATCAGGTAAACCAAACGGGCCCAGTTTTCCAATAGGTGGACCTCAAGGTCCTCAAAACGACAGATATCCAGCTCAGAAACCTAACAGAGAATATCTCCCGCCTAGAAATTAACTGCCCAATTCTCACCAACGACCTTAGCGTTCTTACACGTTTAATAGATAAAATATATTATTATAATAAGTATTCGAAAAAGTATTATTACATACGACTAAGAAGACCGCCGAATTTTTCCATGGATTGCCAGTAGAATCACGTTGACAAACGAGCCGGTTGGTGCTAAATTAACCTTAAAGAAAAATATCGACTAACTTCGATGTTCATTAGTTAAGTTATATCGATGTTAATAAAATTTTAACACTATTGTTAATGTGATGTGGAAACAAAAATTTGTATTTTAAAATAGTTGAATGTGATTCTGATAAACGAAAGTTACCAAAACTAGTTCGTAGGTAAGTTCTGAACAAGCGCGACACGATAAAATGTTTAAAGTATTAATATTTTTGATTATTTTTATACATAAAATTTTGTAAATATATGAGTACTCAATAAAAGTATTTTTTGCAATAAAAATGTTTTATTCTCTTTTATTTCTTCTTTTTTATTTTCCTGTTCATCTTTCTTTGTGTAACCATTGAGGTCACTTGACAATGTATGTATGTCATAGAGTAGAGCAATGAGCATTGTGTTTCATAATAAATATTTTCGCATTTTTCTCTAAATCATATCAAAGATTTGTATATAAATTATATACAAATATACAATTAATGTAACTTAAACAATATTGAATAAGTCAATAAGCTCTTTGAAAATGGTTGCCCAGTATTGGATTAAAAAAAAGTACACTAAACAGCAATCAGCCTCTCTGTTGCTTTGAAGAAATACTTTAAAGAGAGACTGCTTTAAACAGCTGAAGCAAATCCGTTTTAATTAAAATAAATTAATAAATAAATTAAAATTTTACAGCTTTAGAGTTTACAAATCAAGAAGCAGGATTCTCACACTATAGCTCTAACTTTTAAAGAATAACTTGACTGAAAGAAATAAAGACTCTTCCTTTGTAGATCAGATAGTCTCTATAGATATTGAAATGAAACCTTAAAGGGTTTCTTTTATATCACAACACAACATATTTCATTGCTAGTTAAACGAAAAATAAAATAAAAGACTTACAAATACCGTCTGTTTATGTGCTTGGCATTTAAGTAACGACGCGTGTCTGATAGACAGTATTATGATGCAAGACACAGATGTAAATAAGAGCACTCATTAGTGCATGCCACCGAGATTTGAACCTGGACCCTGAAAATCGCATCAGTACTTATGGGCCGTCATATCTATCTAAACATTTATGACGAATTTTTATTATTCTTTTTTTTTTGAAAATTTGTTATTACAAAAATACATCATGTGCGAAAATTTCAACTGTCTAACTATCACGGTTCATGAGATACGGCCTGGTGACAGACGGACCGACAGACAGACAGCGGATTCTTAGCAATAGGGTCCCGTTTTACCCTTAGAGTACGGAACCCTAAAAAGTGCCAAGGCTTAAATTTTATTTGAATAAAATGGATGAATACTCCAAATTCAAATATCCTTTTTCAATTCAACATAAAAGTATTATACATTACGCATACTTATTGATTGTCAAACAAGTCCTCCTATTGAGGTCGGTTAAAAATGGACTCAATTCGACTGTACTTATATTTTTTTATGTTTGTTACTTTATAACTTTCGACTGGGTGGACCTTGATGGTTTTGTGGATTGGTGGATTTTGATGATTCCTTATTTATTTGAAAGCTGAAAAAATTAAAAAAAAAACCTGTGGCTCTCGGGGACTGCCGCGGTAAAGCTATTGCATAGCATTTTTTATCAACTTATGCAATTATAATTATTTATTTATTTTTCATTTTGCTTTGTACCTGTCGAAGAGGTGATTTGAAGTTAGAACGTCCGATACAAATACGATTCCATACTGATAAAATACCATTAAATAAATACAGACTGAACCGGTAATTTACAATTTATAAATAAAATTACAACTACTGCTATTCTTTCTGATGTCTATACTGTTTAAGTTCTAGTTTCACGTATTGCATTGCAATTATTATTATTTTTTACTATCCTCGACCATTTGCTAACGGATATTTTATATTTATAGATATAAATAAAATAGCTGATAATTCAAAATATTTAAAACTTAGCATACCATACTTACCATATTATGTGTATTCGTGCCTTCATTATACGAACTCCTCAATAAATCGAGTGAAATCATCTTTTGAATTAAAATTTGTACAAAATAGTACGAAAAGTTCTTCTGTGGGAATCGAACCCATGTCTTCTTCGGATTTGGGCCCTGACGCTTTAGCCACTAGGCTAAATGGTTAATAGCCACACCGACGAAAATCTCTATGTGTTTTATCTAGGTACATTGTTTTTTAGCATTTGAAGCAGTGGTGCATCCATTGTTATATCTTTTCCAGCATACAAACAATTTCGAATATCGTTTTACAACGATAATTCGAACGAGAGATGTCGCCATTATTGCAGGGATAAGCAATTTAAAAATTTAGAAATTTAAATTTTTATATTGCTAATCCCTGCACTAAAGATTAAACATTAATGTTTGTAAAAAAAAAAGTACGAAAGGTTCTACGCCGCTGGGGGAAACGAACCCACGTCGTCGGGATTCACGCCCTGACTTTTTAGCCACTAGCTAAACGGCTGATTACCATACCGATGAAAATCTCAACGTCTTTGATGATCCTTGATTTTTTATGACTTTTTTATGTATAATATAAAATAAATACTTCCAATCTCAGCAGTTAATAAACAGGTTTAAACAACCACCAAAATTTGTGTAAAACACGGAATCATTTTACAATACAATGTGGTCCGTGCATGCACAATTTACTGCTTAAAATCTATCGGCCAACCACACAAGAGAATTGGTAGCGAAAAACCTTTCAACTTTGAAAATTACATACTTGTGGTATTTGAGGTAAGTGAAGCCACAACCGAATGAAGATGGATCTGGTATGGAATTAGGCGATCGTTTCGTCATGCGAGAATTGAATGATATTGCGAAAATAACGTGCTGTTCATGATTTAAAAATGCTATGATTGAAATGGGATTTTATTACTGATAGAGAAAAAAACAAAATATATACTAAAGGGGAGGCAGTGTCTGCGTTCATTTATATTTTATAATGTTTTTAGAAGAAGGAGGCAACGAAAGGTTATCACCGCAGAAGCGATCACCGCCAAGCACGCACTACCCATTGGCAATCTGTTTAGGAGGAATTGTCCGGTTATCTCACTTACTAGAAGTTCCACGTACAAGTACTTTGACTTTATGCGGGTCTTCGGTAAACCCGTAGAACTTCTCACGAGAGGCGGTGGCCATTCATGCAACAGCATAAGCTGCTATATGGTTCTGCTTCATCCATTTCTCCTCTATTCATAAATCGCTGGTTCAAATCCGGCTGACCAATTGTTTCTTGGGTGTTCAGAAGATGGGATGGCGGTGCCAGTAAATTATAGAAATGTTCTTTGCTTCAAAATCTTTACTATATATTCTCAGTAATGTAGGTAGTGTGTAGCACCTTAGGATTTTAAACAAGGAATGTCCTCTTTGCCCCATATATCGTTTCCTCAGTAGATAGTAGTTTTTATGGCTATGAACGGTTGCGTTTATAACAGGATATGTTTAATGATATTCGAAAACTAACATGTACAAAAATTTCATCAGCATTAGTAATCGGCTAGTTAAAATTAAAAAGGCAGATATATGTGAACTCCATTAATCGTCGCCGTTATGTTTACGGTTACTGAGGTTACTTTACTTCATATAACTTCATACAAACTAAGAATGCAATTAAAAGAATGCACCAATAGTTTATATTTGAAAAATAAAGCATCCAAGTAAAAGTTCAATTCTATCTGAAAGGAATGTTCAGTGTTCAGTTTAGTGAACAATTCATTGTGCGCGAATACGAAATACTATGATCCTGCTCAATTTTGCCTGTCGGCGAGAAGTATTAACGAAAAATGGGGAAATGTATAAAAGCTTATTTCTATGCTATAGACTATCCCGCACTATATTATACATAATTGATTCCCATGTATACGCGATTTTTGCGCTCATAATAATACTACTAATGCCATCTAGCGACAATAACTTAATATAGTTAAAGTATCAACTTTGTTTAACCGCATTCCATGTTATATAATTTTTTTCACAAATAATAAAATATTCTTTTAATAGATTATACAATAAATTAAAATATATTTGCACATACACATCACCATTTGATTGGACACTCCCAAATATAGTAACTCTTGGCACTGGCAGCACTAAAACGAGATTGTCAGTGTTGTCATGTCATTTGTCAAGCGCTCGTGCGTGGTTGTTTTGCATTTTTTATGAAAAACTTAGTCGTTTTTCAATGGTCTCTCGTACATAAAGTGGAAGTGATAAAAAACGGTCCATAATCGTGAAATGAATTAAGTGATAAACGTCGTAAATTACTTAAATGAAGGAACCTTCAAGTGGCTGGTGACATAATTGTCTCCTGAGTATTGCGTATCATGTAACCTTAGTGGTTTATTTTGTGGCCTGTTGTGTCTATTTCCGACTCAAGAAACTTCCTGACTGTACGCACACATTTATTTTATGTATTTTTAATGTCGTATTATTCCTTGTTTATAATGTATCCTCTTGTATTCCTGTTGCAAAACATATGTTTAAAGATTTGATAGATCGAATGTCAAGGTTCAATACTTCGATGCATTTGAATGCAACAAAAGCAAATACTTATCGTTAAACTTAATAGTATTGAGCATCCTTTGTAAATAGCCAGAAAAGCGCTCATTAACATAAATTATGCCATTTGGTTAATTGAAATGCTTTATCTTTTTGCTATTGCACAAAGTGTTTTGTGTAGTTTCACTCATAATATGGTATTGTTTGCCTGTTCTCACAGTATATCAGATTTTCCAGTACAATTAGTTTGAAATGAATAGAAATGTTACCATTATGTCAATGGTGAAAGTTGCCTTGTTTTCTATTTTTATGTCCATTTATATGTGAAATCTTTCAAAAAATAGCTGAATATATTATTAAAAAAAATATACCTTTATGTATTTCGCTGCCTTTTCAAATATTATGATTACACATCACTAGTTAAAAATATATCACATCATCATCATTTCAGCCTGTTTGAGACTATAAGTAAAAATATAGTAACCAATATAAAAACATTTTTCAATTATTTGAATACTATTCTACTTAATTTATTTATTCAATGCTAACTCAACTCAACCTACCAAATGTTATTTAAAATGATACCAGTACTTTGTTCTATTTTCTCAATAAAATAAATATCTTTACAAACTATTTTGTTAAGTTCAATATCTATTGTGCCTTTTACAACTTAATATAGGTAAGTATCCTTATCAATTTAAAATTGAAATTTTTCCTCTTCATATGGTAATTAAATTTTGCCTATTCTTGCCTAAAAAAAGTAAGGATTTTCCTTAAATTGTTGGATCTTGATTATAAATTTATTTCTTTATTTACATTAAAACAAATGTTTTGTAAATGTTTACTTAATATAAAAAGTTTTAGAATTATTTAGTAAAAGAAAAAACACTTTGCTAGATGAATGGCATATACAAAAAACTGTTCAAGTCCGAGTTGAACTTGTACGCCAAGGCTTCCGTACCTACCCATTATATGACCATAATAAATTTGGTAAATAATCAACACCAATACACGACACACAGATAGACAATAGAGTGATCTTATAAGGGTTACTTTTAAGGTACAGAACCCTAAAAATGTCTTTTCGTACGATGCTAGATAATAAGTTTAAATTATAATGGTCTACACATTGTTATTTGAATTGAAGCTAAATTATTTATATATTTAAATGTTCAATCACTGATATTAGTTTTAAATACAATTTTAAAACTAAAATTAACAAATATATTATGTATGCAATAAATTTCCCTTTATAACTTTTAATTGTTTTGTTGAAGGGTGGAAATATTATTTATTATGATGAAGGCAAGTTCAGTTTATCATTTTTATGAAAATAATTTTTGCACTAAGTAAATTAAAATATTGTTTGTGTGATGAAAAATATGACCAGACTTTTTTTATGTTTCAGTTTTTCAATATGTTTTACATGACAAAATATGTTACTCACACACTGATTTTTCTTATCATTTAATAATCATACAATTATTGTATTACAGTTTATACTTTTTGACCCTGTTACCAAATGCCTGTACAAAAAAGGTGTACCTGGTAACAACAATACAGTTCCAAAACAGGTTTCTCTTGAGCACATTATAGGTCTTCCTTAAACCTGTTTCTAATATAACTTATCCGTAGCATTAATGATCATGATTTTTTTTAATTCATGTTGCAAAACATCAAATGTGAATCAAAGTTAGTGTCATTTTACTTCCAGTTGTTTTACCCCATAATTATGTGAAAAAAATATAAGACCTTTACTATCACACATTATAACAGATTTATATGTAATTAAAATCAATATGTTTATTCATATTATCTTTTTTAATTATATTATTGATATTCATATAAAAAAAATCTGCATCCTATTTCTCTCATCCTGGCATAATTTGTGTGACAGTGTTGCCGTCTTTATTATTGTTCATGTCCATTAATTTAACAATAAATGTATTTACTGGCAGGTCGCCATCTTTCACCAAAACTCCGATTATTTATTTACCCAGTCTATTTTACAGCTGACTTACTGAAGCACATCTGACTTAGTGAAATAGTCACATCCCAATGGTGAGGGTTTTAAGAATAGATTGACTTTGTCGCAGATGTCATGATCATGAAATGAATGCACCATGAGCTGGCTTCGGAACACGTCGCTGTCGCTGGCGAGGCAGCTCTCCAGGTCGCTCGACCCGCGCCATGACTATGAGCCGCAGGCCTGCTACAACTCCTTCTGCAAGCACTGGCAGCAAGCGCACGACATTATCATCAAGTCCCAGGTGAGTAAACCACTATTACTATATCTTGGATGCTGCTTAGCAAATAAATAGTTAAATATTTCAGGGCACAATTTTACACAACGTTTTCTAGTCCCAAACTAAGCAACGCCTGTACTATGGGTAGTAGAAAACTGATAAACACACTTGTCTTTTGTAAATAAATACATATTATAAATATATAAACACCATATATTCATAAAAACATTTTCTTTGAGTTTCTTACGCCAGTTCTTCTCAGGTTAGTGGCTTTCCTTCCGAACCGGTGGTAGAGTTTTTTTGACTATCAATAAGTTAGTGTAATGCTTCTATATTGAATAAATATATTTGACTTGACACCCTCTGGTGCAAGAGGCAGGGTCACTACCCACTACGCCGATCGGGTCGTCAATTTTGAATAATTATTGAAGTAGGCCGTAGAGCAGCTGTTGTTCCAAGTTGGGCAAGCTGGGCGATGGAATTACCACGGTCTGATTGAAGTCCGGTCTGAAGAGGTAGTATTATACTAGCGTTTCGTGTGGTGAGTAGATAAAAGATTTCACTTTAGAGGTTGGCAACACGTCTGGGACCTTTTAGATGCTGTAGATGTCAAAACATAAAACACATCACATTTCGTCTCTGACGTATTATAATGCCATATCGCTCGATTGGTAAAGAATACAAGGCATCCTATGATCTAGGAAGAGGCCTCTCTTCCCACCTCTAGCCTAACCCTCAAGGAACCCGTCACGAAATACTTTACAACGTAAACATGTTTTATTCCAAATCGTCATCCCACGGAATAGTAACCGACTTAAAATTTGGCACTAATGAATATTAATTGCAATTTTATATGCTAATTTATAATAGTATATTATAAAACGCTTAGTTTCTATAGAAAAAAATCTTTCTGTTGTGAGATAAATATATACGTTGTTAGAGTAACTACTTGTCGCACCGCCGTAGCCTCAACATCTCCACGACGACGTCCTCGGCGTGGTGAACCACCTGGAACAGCTGGCGACCCTGCTGGTGCTCGAGGCTAGGGCACGCCAGTTCTGCCCGGATTCGAACCCTGCCGCTTGCCTCGAGTACCTGCTCAGCGAGAACCTACTGGACAAGCTGTACGAGTGGGCCATATGTACCGGCAAGTGAGTGCATCAACCGTATCCAGCTTTATTACTTTTAAATTAGAATGTGAATATGACCTTTTTTGAAAACTTTGTAATCTATCAATATTGGTGTAAGCCGATTTCTCAGACTTCTCTTCTTACATGGAGTAACATTTTGTTTTGAAAGTGGATGAATGCAGGTGACTCAGGATAGTGGTTCGTGGCGGTCAGTGGACTTGAAGGCTGAAGTGGTGATGATAGATATCGTTTCGCGATCTTATAGTAGTATACTAGTTCGGAAAAGTAGCAAGAAACCACATCAATTATGTATAACTACGTGAATGCTTACGATTTCTTTTTATATTTTCTGCCGTAGGATACAATTATCCTGCGTTGTGGAGGCGTTTTACGAATGTAAATATAGCACGGATCACAATTGTTTATGGTCATAAGAATACGTGCGGTATTCGATACCCATGACCCAATCGAGACGCCGAAACCATTGACTAGGGATGTCAATAATTAAAAACTATATGTCTCTGTATTGATATTTATAGAAATATCAAAATCGATCTCAATATATCGAAGAGAACCTGTATAAATATTTGACACTTACAAACTCTGTGTCGGACACGAATTTGAAAAAATATCGCTTTTAATACGATTTTCGATTCTGAATACTTTGTATCGATGTATCGGATCCAAATATATCGGCTGAAAATATTGATATACAGAATCAAAAATTTCGATATATGGATAAATCGATACTTTTCGACATCTCTACCATTAACTCTGCAAACGCGCATTACAATAAGTTAGTTCTTCCTGTTTGTTACACAAAATCCAAACGCTTCACTATATTAGATTTTAATGTAAGTCCTAACCTAAGTAAAGGTAAACTATTGAAATACGGGGCGTTGTTCAGTTTAAGGAATGGGGTTCAAGTGAGAAAAAATAAAGGTTCAAAATATTGTTCTTCTTCTATGTTAAGTTTAAGGAATGAGGTACTTGTATGAAAAAAAACGATTAAAAATTTTTTTTCTTCTAATTTGTCCCCCGGAAGATGAATACATTTTTTAAGATCGACTTTTTCAACCAGTGCCGGAGTGATCGCTTATCTAGGCCGTCGTGGGCGTGGGTGGGTCTTCAAGCGATTCTACCCACTTAAAAACCCTGTGCCACTTGTTTACCACGGTTTTCCCAGGGCAAGAGTCCAAGTAAACTGATGACATCATTATAAAAATCGTTGTTTCTTAAGAAAGGTTTTAAGAAACAACGTTTAAGGAAACAACTTGTATTATATATATTACTATAAATGTATTATAATGAATGAATGAAGTGATGTATAATGTAAGAACGGGTAACAATGGGGTTGATAAGGATAAAAACCAAAGTAAATTCTGATTAAAGAAAAACTTTAATAACTTTGCATTAAAGATAACACAATATTCTTTTTATAAGAGCCAAGTGTTTTGTGAACTAAAACTTGAAGTGAACTGAAATATAGCCAGTGATGCGTGCCCAAGAGTACATCTCTATAGTTTTTATATATATAGAAGATAGATTTGTACTAACTTCGCGAGACCGTCTAGAAAGTACCAAACTATCGCAAGAACAACGGCATAGAATATAAAAAAATGTAAAACGACTACCTTCTTCGAATCTTATTAAAACAAGGGCCGATTTTGCCGTAGAAACTACATAACATATACTTCGGTCTCTTTCACTCTCAATCACTGCGTTTGTTTATAAGTACGTAGGAAATAGCTCTGTAACCGCACGAGGTTTCGCAAACGTGAAAAATCACAGAAAAAAATAAACACGCGGATTCATATAGAACTAGCTGCAGCCCGCGACTACGTCTGCGTAGAATAGGCTGAAGGCGTAATATTCAGACAGAAAGTAAGTAATACATAATATATGGATATAAATTATAGCCTATGTCTTATTCTGATGTATAAGCTATATTATTGTAAAGTTTCATTAAAATCTGTAGTATTTGCGTGAAAGAGTAACAAACATCCATCCATACATACAAACTTTCGCGTTTATAATATTAGTAGGAAAAGGATGTAAAGATATTCATGTAAGCTGTTCACGACCTGAATGGCGTAGTGGGTAATGTACCTGCCTGCTGCGCCAGAGGATGTGGGTTCGATCCCCACTACTGGAAAATATTGTGTGATGAACATGTTTTTTTCTAGTGTCTGGTTTATATACGTATAACGTGTATTTATTTACAAAAAAAAAGTATTTTTAATTATGTCTTTCAGTTATCTAGTACCCATAGCACAAGCGTTGCTTAGTTTGGGACTAGAGAAAGTTGTGAAAAATGTCCTACAACACTGTCACTTTTTATTTTAGCTTCTATGTTGTATGTAGTTTTATTTACATAATAACCAGGCAGAATGAAAACCTTATATGGGCAAACGTTAATTTATATGATTATGTCGTTCATTAATGATGCGATGTAGCGGATAGGTCCAACTACAGGCCTATATCCCTAGCGACAATCGTAGCTAAAGTTCTGGACAGTCTGCTTGAAATACATTTAAAGAAAGCTACTAAAATTAACGACGCTCAATTCGGCTTTCAGTCCGAATTGTCTACCGAGAGCGCAATAATGTGTCTCAAGCAGACTGTACGGTACTACACTGACAGAAAAACGCAAGTGTATGCGTGCTTCTTGGACCTGTCAAAAGCATTTGACCTTGTATCGTATAAAGTACTATGGCATAAACTTAGGACGGAAACGAGCCTAAGGCCGGAGCTGTTATCGTTGTTGCAGTACTGGTACGGTAACCAGTCAAATGTCGTAAAATGGGGAGACGCTATGAGTGACCCCTACAAGCTGAACTGTGGAGTGAGGCAGGGTGGGCTTACGTCACCGAGGCTGTTCAACATTTTTGTCAACCAGCTGATAGAGGGGCTGAGCAGAGCTGGTGTCGGATGCTCAGTTGATGGTGTCTTTATAAACAACATCAGCTATGTGTCATGCGGATGACATGGTTCTGCTTAGTCCTTCGGTCAGTGGCCTCCGGAAGCTACTTAAAATCTGTGAGGACTATGCTGAGAGAAATGGACTCAGATACAACGCCAAAAAGAGCGAGTTCCTTGTGTTCAGGGGAAAAAACAAAGCCACCAATTTTCAGCCAATCATACGATTGTGTGGTATTCCCCTGAAACAGGTGGCGGAGTTCAAGTATCTCGGCCATATAGTTAACGAGCGCCTCGTGGACGACGGTGATATAGAGAGGGAGCGAAGGGCGCTGTCGGTCCGGGGCAATATGTTGGCCCGCAGATTTGCGCGTTGTAATTCAGAGGTAAAATTAACGCTGTTTAGAGCCTACTGCCAAACCTTTTACACGTGCAGTCTGTGGGCGGACTACACGCAGCGGACCTTCAGAACTCTTCGTGTGCAGTACAACAATGTGCTGAGAGCGGTATTGGGGAAGCCGCGTCACTGCAGTGCATCTGCAATGTTTGCGGAGGCTCGTGTAGACGACTTCTACGCGATCTTCCGGAAACGTGTTGCATCCATGATGAGCCGGTTAGTGAACAGCTCCAATGCCCTTCTCAGCACTTTGGCGTGCAAACTCGACAGCCCACTCTGGAGGAGTTGGAATGGTGCACACACATATGCTAACAAGCGTGTGTGTATTTAATGTTAGTTAATCTTAGTCTTAATTATATTAATTTTAATTTCTTTTGATTTATTTTTAATTTTAGTTAATTTTAATTTATTTTGATTTATTTTTAATTTATTTTCCCTTTATTGATTTTTTCATTTTGTTTTGTACTAACCAAATATGGACCCTGGTCTGAAATAAAGATTTATTATTATTATTATTATTTATTAAATTTTCATTGTATTCATGTCAACTAGGCCGTTTCGGTGTTTTTGAAGATAAGATTATTGGCGAAACAGCAATAACAATTTGTACTGACTCACGAATTAAGTTGTCTTGGCTCTTGTATATAATATTGTAATAAATCAGTTTCAAATGGTTTTAGAAATAACAGATGTTTAATCCTTCCTATCCTTACTAATATTATAAAGGCGAAAGTTTGTATGTATGGATGGATGTTTGTTACTCTTTCACGCAAATACTACTGAATGGATTTTAATGAAACTTTAAAATAATATAGCTTATACATCAGAATAAGATATAGGCTATAATTTATATACATATTTTATGTATATCTATCTTTGTCTGAATGTTACGCCTTCAGCCTATTCTACGCAGACGTAGTGTCTAGTTGCAGCTAGTTCTATATATGAGTCCGCGTGTTTATTTTTTTCTGTGATTTTTCCCGTTTGCGAAAGCTCGTGCGGTTAAAGTTCAATTTCCTAATGGAAGAATTTTATTGATTAATTATTATTATTTTAGACTTCGTTCTTTTTTTCTCTCTTTTTTATATTATTAAAACATTCCCTGGACCTTAAGGAACGTACAAAAAAAATTAGTCGAATTGCTCCAGCCATTCTTGAGTTATGCGCTTACCAACATTCATTTTTATTTATTAAGATTAGCTCGTACACGGTACTTCGCTCCCGCAGAAGGAATAATTCTGGGATTATCGTTTGAAATTCATATGAGTTTATCTTTGTCACGTTTGCCGGTGCGCCAACTACTATGGCCTATAATCATCGTGCAAATGCAATCAATATGTTGACAAAGTTTTATCGCAATTGGTTGAACTGTAGGGCAGTTTATGCGAGTAAATTTTTATCTACAAAAAACAAAACCTACCTTAGATCATCCCACTCACTATAAATTTTCTATTTTATTCAAATTCATTTTCACATATCTTTATTCATAATAGAAGTATCTTCACTTGCACTTCCTTATTGATTACTACCGCTTCGGGAAAAAAACCACAGACTTGAGAAGAACCGGCGAAAGACACTCAGCTGGGCATTTTTTTAATGATTAAAAAAATAATTTGACAAATATAACAAACGTGTATACAATATATTCAATTCCACTTGAAAGAGCCTGGAGCGATTAATTAGTTTACAGAGTATGTTATCGTTT